TGGCCAGCTCGCCCTCGTCCTTGCGGAAGAAGTTGAGCTTTGTGTAGGCGAGCAGGTGGGCGAGGGTGCCGAAGCGGTGGATGAACATTCCTAAGAAAAAAAGGAGGTTAAAAAGAAGTTCTAAAAACTCCCTCAAACACCTCTTACCAATAATCTGAATAATGAGAATAGCCCCAAAGAAGACCACCAGGCAGAGGGTGATCGGGTCCATGCGGGTCTTGTTTACTATCGTCTCCACGTGCCAGCTATTCTCCTCCTCATTGTACGTCCGATTGTAGCCGGCAATGCCAACCGGAATGTCAATGCCAAAGACGTCCTTGTGCAGCTGCAGCATGAAGACGAAGAGAATGAAGATAATGTTCATGAAGGCAAAGGCGAAGACCGATTTGTTGCGAAGGTCAATCAGCTCATTGCTAATGCGTTCCTTCTCCGCCAGGTTCTCAATCAGCGGCAGGAGGTACTTGTCGATCATGGTGCGCCAGAAGTGGAGCTCTCGATCGTGGAGGGGTTGAATTTTAAACGTTGACAGTCGCTTGTTGGTGCGAATCCACTTGGGAATCGGGTTCGAGGTCTTCCGATTCTCCACCGCCTGGTTGATCGACTCGATGGCGTCGTCCACCTCGGAGCCCTCCTTGGAGGCCTCCTCCACCGGCGAGAGGCTATTTTGACCGCTGTCGGTCCCTTCCAAGGGCGTCTCCGCCCCAGAGGCGGGCATGGAGTTGGTGAGCAGGCTGGCTCGTCTACTGAGAAAAGGAAAAAGGAAAAACAAAACAAAAGAGGTTGTTAGAAGTTTCAAAAGAAGTTCGGCTAAACTCCTCTTTTTACCTCATCCCCGGGACAAAGCCGCCCTGCGTCCGAATCTGATCCACCACCACCTTCATCTCGGTGACGTTCTTTGCAATCTCCGTGATCGTCGAGGTGTTGTCCGTGGTGTGCTGCCCCCCAGAGCAGCACATACAGGTGAAGAGGCCGTTCTTCCCGCCGCCGGCGCCGTACTTTGAAACGTCGAGGTACTGACTGAACAGGCTCTTCTTTGCCGCCGCCTCAGCCGCCGCCTTGGCCTTTGCCTCCTCTTCTGCTTTTTGGGCGGCCACCTCCTTCGCCGAGAGCTTCGACTTGACCTCCCGCGTGCCCCAGGCGACGATGTGCATGTTGGTGACGGAGTAGATGGTGAGGAGCATGTACATCGACGGAATGAGAAGCATGTACAGAGGAAGGGGGAGGACGCAGCTGAACTCCTGAGGGTGAATAATGGCCGCCACCAGGAAGCTGCCCATCATACAGCTGAAGAATAAAGCATTTGGTGATAATATTCCTTGCTGGTACATGTCAATGCCGATGCCGACCATGACGGCAAGCATAAGAAGGGCGTAAATCAGCGATAGCAGCATCGCAAAGTTGATCTTGATGTCGTTATCCTTGAACTTCAGACAGACGAAGGTGAAGACGAGGACGGGAATGACGTTTGCGAGGAGGGAGGTTCGGGAGTCGAGGTTCATGGCGCTGTTCATCGCACTGACGACCATGAGGAAGATGGTCCCCGGGGAGAGGATCGTGCCGACCATGAGGAAGGCCTGGTAGAGGATGTAGAGGAGGCTGATGTTCTCGTTTCGGTCCACGGTCTGCTTGTAGTCGCCCAGTAGATCGAGGATGTTGGCCATGGTGGAGGGGGCCCAGCGGCGGCGTTGGGTGTAGAATTCGCCGAAGCCTAAGGAGAAAATTTTAAAAATTAGAAAATTTTTTAAGGGGAGTTCGATTTCTATTTCTACCCTCGGGGGCGTGGGTGTAGGAGTCCGAGGCGGCGCAGTACTCGATGCGCCAGCCTCGCTGCAGCATCAGCGTGCACAGCCAGCGGTCTTCGCCCTGATCGTATTGGACGTAGTGGAGCGCCTGAAATAGAAGAAATCAGGAATTTAGAACTTCGAAAAAACCTCCAAAACTTCTTCTTTTTTTGCTCACCTCACTCGGCTTCGTCGTGTACTTGTTCATCACGCTCTTGTCCATGACGGCCCTCGCCCGGAAGAGCGAAAAGCAGCCCGGACTGCACAGGACACAGCCAAAGACGTGCTCCGTCGCCTTCTGCAGCCAGTGGCCGATGGCGTACTCGAACTTCTGGTACCAGACAATGGGCCCACCGCCAATTGGGTGGATCCGCCCACAGGCCGCGCCCAGCTTGCTGTTCTTCTTCATCAGGTCGACCACCATGTGCACCGCCACCGGCTGAAAGTTGATGTCCCCGTCGAGGGCCAGCACGAAGGTGTTGTTGGCGATCTTCCGCTTCCGCTGCTCGCTCAGGTCGGCCCGGGCGGCCAGCCGGTAGCCCAGCAGGTAGTACATGTACATGCACTGGCTCC